GTGGACTCATGGTGCCCTCCCACAGCCCCTGTGAGAGCAGCCAGCAGGCCTGACCCCGACGGATGGACAGACGGATGGACGGGGCGCTGCCTGAGGCAGGGGGCTGCTAGGGGCGCCTCCAGAGAAGCGTCAGAGGCGAACGTGATGTGACTGAGGCCTGGGGGCCCAGCTGAAGGACCCCAGCGCCAGGAGACGGTCTTAGCTGCTCCGGGGGCCCGGGGCCAATAGCACGGCCAGGCTGCCCGGGTCTGCGGGGGGCAGCGGCCATGTGGGCACACTGCTCCGTGCAGACCCTGCTCCCTGCCTGAGACGGAGGCTCCGGGGCGCGAGCTGCCTGCCTGGCACGGGCCCTGCCCGTGGGAGCGGGAGCGCCGTCTCTTGCTACAGCGTGCTCTGCCTGGATCCCCTCGCTTCCCGCCAGGCTGTCACCTCTGTCTTTGGGGTACGCCTCCTGAGCCTGGGGGTGTGCTGGGGCTCCCTGCCCCCACAGAGCGATGGGGAGGGGAGAGGAACCCACCCCCACAACCTACAGCGACTGTCAGGGAGCAGACCACCTGGTCCGTCCAGACGCGAGATTTGGGGGTCGGGGGAGATGTGCGCCGTCCACGGCTCCTGCTTGGCGAGTGCAGGACGAGGCTGGTGCCACCTGAGTGGGTGTAAGAGCAGGGCCTCAATCTCCCTCCAACAGGCCTGACAGGCCGGGCGGCGGCTGCGTCTCGGGCTGACAGCGTTGTCATTAAACACCAGGTAGTGTGGGACGGCCGCCCCGGGACAGGCGGCTGACACGTTGTTTGTCATCGCGAGCTGCCTGCCCGCAGCCTGCAGTGCGGGCTCAGGTGACGTGTGCCTGTCGGCTGCCGGCTGCCACTGTGACTTGATCATCGGTAAGTGTTTGTCAGGCTGATCCTGGCCGATTGGACACCTCGGCTGCAGGAAGGTGGTGCCGAGTGCCTTCCCGCTTCTGGGCTGCAGGTGGAGCCCGACCTGTCCTCCCCGCGCAGGCGAGAGGCGCTGAGGGCTTCTGCAGGGCCTGGGTCCGCCCCCCATCCGGCAGAGCTGTGTGCCTCCTTCCTGTGGGAGCCGTGTGCCCGCCTCACCTGTGGGAGCCGTGTGCCCCCCTCGCCTGTGGGAGCCGTGTGCCCCCCTCGCCTGTGGGAGCCGTGTGCCCCCCTCGCCTGTGGGAGCCGTGTGCCCCCCTCGCCTGTGGGAGCCGTGTGCCCGCCTCGCCGGGGCGGCCCTCCGACACAGGCCCGAGGCCTCTGATGGCAGCAGCGCTTTTCTGCGTTTGAAGTGCCAGGAGCCATGGGCAAGCTCAGGGAAAGTGGAGTGATTTATTAGACTCATAAAAATTCATGCTTGCGATTCCAGTCATCCCGTCTGAAGCTTGTTAGAGCGCGTCCCTGGCAGCTCCCGCCGTGTTAGCGCGGGGGTGGGGCCTGCCCGTCTCCTGCCTGGGCTGCCTTCGAGGCTCCTCTGAGGAACGGATGCTGCAAGCACAGGAGGGAACGTCTGGGTGGGCAGGGCTTTGCTGTCAGCCTGGCTCTGCCCTCGCAGGAGCGAGCGGAGGGCCAGGCCTGTGGCCCGCGTGCCCCACCCCTGCAGCTGGGCTGGGCAGCAGGACCCCTCCCTGCAGGGGCGGGCGCGGTCTGCGTTGTGTGCCCGGCCGTCCACAGGCGTGGCGGGGCCTCCTTGCTCTCCAGGCCGGTCCGTGGCCGTGGAGCCGCCGCCCTTCCTGCGACCGGAGCAGGTCTCCTGGGCCTGGCGGGCAGTCCCTCTCCTTCCCTGGGCTCCGTCTCCCAGCCGTGCCCCTGGGAGCGCCGTGCCCCTGGGAGCGCCGTGCCCTGCCCGCCGTGCCCTGCGATGGGAGCTAGTCTGCGGAGGAGATGGGGTAGAGGCTTCCCCTGCTCCCAGCAAGGATGCTCCACCAGAGCCAGCCTCCTGTGTCCTCCCTTTCCCACCGGCCAGAGCCAGCCTGCCCCATGAGCGTTCGTGCCAGCCTGGCTCCCACACCCTGGCTCCCTGCCTGGCACTGGCAGTGGCTGGCAGGGAGAGAGCCGCCCTGTGAGCACCCTGCCCACCCACCCGGACCCTCTGCTGAAGCTCTCCCACCGGTGGGGCTGGAGGGCAGCAGAGGGACAGTCCAGCCCAGGGGAGAGAGGGGGTCAGGTTGCCCCTCAGCCTCCTGGGGAACCCTGCTGCCCACCTTACACTGAGAGGGCAGGTGCAGGGCACACAGCGTCTCACCAGCTCAGTAGAAGCTGGGCCATTGGTGCCCTCCGCCAGGTCCCAGACCGGATCCCCTTCCAGATGTTTACTCCCAGCAGTACGGGTGGGGTGCCATCAGGGTCCCAGCCCTGCATCTGGACCCGTCCAGCCTGGCTGAGCCCAGAACTGGAGGGCCTGGGTGCAGGTGGTGGGGTGCAGGTGTGAGGCCCGGGGGCTGACAGCCAGGCCCGAGGGGAACGACCACATGTGTGTGCACGCACTGGGGACTGGGCCCGCTTCCCCTCGGTGGGGCGGACACGGGGGTGCTCTGGGGACCCCTCTGCCTTCCTCCTGATGCTTCCTGCCAATGGCGGCCCTTGGGGTCCCAGGATCCTTGTTACCCCCAAATGCAGCCCTGGTTTCACCGTCTCCAGGACCATAGGGATCCCTGAGGAGGGAGCTTAGACGGGACTAACCCTCAGCCATGCCCTGATGGACGGGCAGCCTCGAGAGCGCGGCTGGAGCCGAGCAGGGTTTGGGGGCCAAATCCCAGCCCTTTGCCTGGGTCAGGCCTTCCAGGAGGCACTGAGGCCCCGACCCCTGGGCCCTGGGCTCTGGCCCAGGAGCAGCACTTTGCCTGCACGGCCATCCCCGGAGACAGGGTCCTGCTGGCGTGGCTTTTGCTCCGGCTCTAGCCGTGGGCCCTGAGGCCCGCAGGCCGGGCTCTGCACGCGTCCCGGACGTGCCTGCTGCTGTCCTGTTTCTGCACCATTTCCCAAGAGCGCAGCTCCGCTGCTGGGGCGAGGCTCTGACCCAGGGCCAGGTGGGCCCCTGCTCCCTGGGCTGCCCTGTGTCCACCGGGACCCGAGTGACTGGGGAGGGAGCGTGGTTGATGGGGCGGAAGTCCATGTGGCTTCAGACAAGGCTGAGCCAGGACGCGGCCTTTAGAGCTGCTGGTGGCGGGTGAGGTGGGGCAGTGGGCAGACACGGAACCCGGGTCAGGGTGACTGTTGAGAAAAAGCGGATTGGCAGTCACTGGAGAAAGTGGAATCGCACTGGATGGAGGCCACACCGCATGGTCCCCTCCCCCTGGGGACTGGCCTGGCACCCTCTAGGCGTGCGGCTTGTCTTCTAGGGCATCCGACAGGCTCTCCGTGCCCGGCTCCCATTGGCACGTGGAGAACGACAGACAGCCGGGTGCGGGGAGACTCACTGTGCCCCCCCCCCCCCCCTCCAGCTTGTTTTGGGAGCAGCCTTCTCTCTCCCGGGCAGTGGCACAGGCAACTCTTTGCACAGACGGCAGCTCTGGGTTCACCTTCTTGAAGAATCGTGCGATTAGCCATTCATTTTCTCCCCAGTTAGTGCCCTTGAAGTTCCATAACTGCTCTGGGCAGTCACGTCCCCTGCTTCTCTGCCTTCTGCCCAGTGTGCTGAGGGCCCGGGGACCCTGCCACCCCACTTCGCACACCCTGCTTTGCCACCCCAGGGCTGGTGAGAGGGCAGTGCACGCTGGGGGCCAAGCCAGGCGGCCTGGGCTCTGCCGCCTGCCTGCCTGCTGGTCCCAGTGGCTGCACCGTGCTCAGAGGGCTCCTGGGGGCCCTGCAGGCTCCCCACTGCGCCCACCGCCGAGCGTGGGAACCGGAGAGGCCCGGCGGCCGGCTGCTGTGCAGGAGGGAGGCCCTGCTGATGGATGGGCGCACACTGCATTCAGATATGATGCCAGCAGTTTTTGTGGTTTGTCTTCCATTGCGGTAGTAAAGTTTTTAATTAGGAAAGCTAATGAGATCGATTAGTCATTAGAAGTGACCTCTGCACGGCGGGGCGGAGGCTGTGTGTGCGGGCCTGATAACGCGCGCCCGGCCTCGTCGGCAATAAAGGCACGAAGGGTTTGATTTGAGTGAAACGTGCCACGGGGATACATCATGCGGAGAAAAAAATTACAGCCCTGGGAGTCTGTAATGAAGGGAATTAAACCAACATCCTATCTAAATAACATGATTATCTACACAGACCCTCAGCCGGCCGCGGGCGGGAGAGAGCGCTGCCTGTGGCTGCGGGGCAGGAGGGGAGCCACCGGGCAGATCCCTGTGTGCCTTCTGGGAGGCCTCGCCTGGCACAGACGCCCCCAGCCTCCGCCCGCCCACCTCTCCCCACTGATGGGCTGCCTGGCCGAGCTGCCGGTGTGGGGGTCTCTGAGTGGAATCCTGAGGAGCCCTGTGCTGGGGCCTTGCCGGCAGCCCCTGGGAGCAGAGCCCGAGGCGCTGTGCAGGCAGCTGGGGCGCAGGGGGAGCCCAGGCAGCCTCGCTGCGGGGGAGGCGGGGCATTAGCTTAGTGACCTGGGCAGAGCAGCTGCAGATGATGACAGTCGGGCACGCAGACATGCTCCTCGAGCTGTGGGGACCTCGTCAGCATCAAGTGGAAGGGACTCGGGCACAGTAGGTCCTGCAATTGCGTGAGCGCTCAGCAGGCAGGAAGCGGGTGTCGTCACCCTGCAGTGAACACAGATGTGGCCGAGTACACAAACCTGTAGGCACCCCCAGCCTCCCAGGCCTGCCTGAGGGACCTCTTGCTGCCATGGTGCAGCCCCAGGCTTGGGGACATGGGGGGTGCTGCTGAGGCACTAGCCTCCTCCCCACCTCCCGCACACGCATCCTGGTGGCTGGTCAGGCTTAGGCCTGTGCCCGGCTCTCCTGGAGCCCAGGCTGCTGGGCTGGTGCGGACGTGCACGGCCTCGGGGGTCAGGCTGGAAGGTCCCTACAGCCTCCGCTGACCGCCCGTCTGGGTTTTCTCTGCAGCCTCCAACCTGAACGCCCTGCCGGCCCCTGCCACCAGCAAAGTGATCAAGACCCGGTACCGCATCGTCAAGAAGACCCCGGTGTCGCCTTTCAGCGCATCCCCCTTCCCCCTGTCCCTGCCTTCCTGGCGGGCTCGGCGGCTCTCCCTGTCCAGGTAGGAGGCCCTGCCCAGGCTCCTGTGGCCTGGGGCCGGGCTGGTGGCGCTCAGGGCTGCAGGCGGGCCTGAGGCCAAGGGCACCGAGCTTACCACTGGTCTCCAGTTTGCCGGCTGGGATTGAGCTCATCTTTCTGTTCAGCAGCTTCTGCCCCAGATGCGTGGCACACCACGCAGACACGCTCACGCACGTGCTCATGCCTCCTGCATCAGCGAGCCATCAGCTGGCGCTGGAGGCTGTGGTGTCCCTCAGGAGGCCCTTGTGGTGGTGGTGAGAGGCTGGGCCCTGAGCAGCCCTTTGGGACCTGTGGCATCTTGTCGTCGGTACACTGACTGCTGAGGGCGGGAGGGAGGCCGCAGCCCGCCCCACGCCACCTGCCTTGGCTGAGAGTGTGGTGCCGGCCGCCCTCTGAGACCGCCTGGCTTGGGCTGTGGGCAGAGGGTGCGCCTGCGGCCTCTGCAGATGTGGGCACGCAGCCTGCCCAGGTGGCGCCCACTGCCCTCCTCCTGCACCGCCAGGCGCAGGGAACTTGGCCTGCGCCTGCTTCTCTGGAGGCAAGAGCTGGGAGTATATTTTAAGTTAATTTTACTGCACTTTTTGTAATATTTTTGTTTTAAATAGATTTATAAGCATCTTGGGGGCTATTTCTACAAATTTATGAAGATAATTTTCACTCTCTCGATAAGGTTGAATTTACACCTGCTATTTCCATATTAATTCACAGTGCTAAGTGGGTCTAATTTCCTTCCGTTCTTCTGTCTGGTGAGCGTGGCCTTTTCCTAATGCAATTTCCCCCTCACTAAATCACTGTGATCAGGAGCCAGGATCGCGCTGAATTAACTTAAATTAATTTACTTAATAAGAGATCGTCGTGAATGAGGTTCAGATTTATTGGTTCTACTCCCGCCTTCCCTCCCGCCATAGGTATTCTGCCCACCTGCTGGCCAGGCCCCGCCTCCGGGGTGGTCTGTGGGCCTCTCCTTCCAGCCTCTGAGCACCAGCGAGGGTTACCAGGGGTGGGCAAACTTTTTGACTCGAGGGCCACAATGGGTTCTTAAACTGGACCGGAGGCCGGAACAAAAGCATGGATGGAGTGTTTGTGTGAACTAATATAAATTCAAAGTAAACATCATTACATAAAAGGGTACGGTCTTTTTTTTTAAGTTTTACTCATTTGAAACGGGCCCCGCGGGCTGTAGTTTGTCCACGGGTGGGTTAGGCTTTGGTCCAGCTGGGGCCTGGTAGGGGTGTCCATGAGTAAATGGGGGCCAGGCCCAGTGGGTGAAGGTTCCCCAGGGAGGGCGGTGGCCTTGGGCGCCCTCAGGCAGTGCTGCCCTGCTCCTCAGCGGAGCCCCGGGCTTGGGCCTGCAGGGTGGGGGGGTGCGGGTGCCACGGGCTGAGTGCTGCCAGTGGCTGGGCTTCCTTCGCCAAGGCCGCCTGTGTCCTCACCGGAGCTGCCTGCTCAGCACGGTGGCTGCTCGCCAGCTGCCCAGCCTGTCAGGAGCGCGCCGGGCTCGGCTCGTCGGGGCAGCGGAAAGGGCTTCTCCGGGGCCAGTGGCCAGTCTGATGCCACCCACCCGCTGCCGTCAGCTTCACCAGGGGAAGGCTCTGCAGCCGCTGGCAGTGGCCGAGCCCTTGGCCCCAACGCTGACCGCTGCCCTGTGCCGCTGCAGCTTCAAGCTCCCCAGGCAGCCTACGTCCTGGATCCGGGGCCACAGGAGCTGGCCGGGCCCTGAGGACTCCAGACCACTGCTGCCCAGAACTGGCCCTAGTGCTCGGGGTCTGCCAGGCCTGGGGTCTTGGGGGGCTAGCAGAGGGCACCCCAGGGCTGGGGCTCATGAGGAGGGTTGAATGCTTTTGCTGTAAGATTTGTGGATTTGCCTGCGTCCTCGCTGGCTTCCAGCAGGTTCATTAATCTGCACGGAGGCTGAAGTGTGACTTATATCCCTAAACCGCCTGTCGCTTTTTTCTCTCCAAATTCATTTGATGTGAAAGTGCGGAATAAACAAGCCGCAGAAGCCGCTGCGTCTGAGCTGCTCCTCGGGCTACAAATGCGCTGTCACGGCACTGCCGTCGCCGGGCGCCTCGCTTTATCTTGTTTCACTTTTGTGTCTGTGCCGTGAATCTCGGGGCTCTCTGGGCGGCTTGACGGGTTTGGGCTGTGATTTGAAGGCTCTGAAAGTGACGTCTCATTAAGGAGGAACTCAGCCCAGGGAGGGGTAGGTCCCCCCAGAGCCAGGTTCCCGCCCGCCAGCCCCTCCCAGGCATGCCCTTCCGCGGCCAGCGAGGCCTGCGCTGCTCCCGCCACGTGTGGTTCGTGTGGTTTGCAGCGTGTGGGCTGCTGGGGCGCCATCACAGAGCCAGGCCAGTGACTTCCCTGTACATCGTCTCTCAGCTCTGGAGGCTGGAAGGCTCGGGTCAGGGCGCCCCGACCCATCCTCTCCCGGCTGCACACGGCTACCTCCTCGCTGAGCCCCTCCTGTGAGGACCCTAATCCTTCATGGGCCCACTCTCACCCCCTCATCCAACCCTCGTCACCTCCAAGCTGGGCTCCCACCGCCCGCTGCCTGCCCTGGCGGTGCGCCGGAGGCCAGCAGGCTCGCCGGGTCCCTGGGAGGACCAGGCACAGAGGGCGCCCCCAGTGGAGGAAGCAGGTGGCTGGGGGAGACCAGGAGCGGGGCAGGAGGCAGAGCAGGGTCAAGTGCAGGGGCCGGCCCAGCCCTGGAGCCTGCTGGGAGCCACACGTGGCAGTGCCGGCCACCTCACGGGTGACCCTGGCCCAGTGCCTGCTCTGGGGCACCCGGCTGCCCAGGGCCCTGCCCGAGGTAGACCTGCTCGGTGGCTTGTGGCCTGAGGGGACCCAAGGCTGCCCCTCCCGCTGTGTAGTGCATTGTGGGGCAGTGCCTGCTGCCGCGGGTCCCCCCTTGGCCCAGGAAGAGCTTCCCAGACAGCGAGGGCTGCCCTGCGGGAGGAAACGAGGAGTCAGGGCCGCTGGCCAGGGGGCGGGGAGGAAGGAGGACGGTCGCCCTGGGACTCCAGCTCAGGCCCTGTCCCTCTCCTGATTGTACATTTAACTTTTTGGGGTGACTTTGGATCCCTGTTTGCACTTCGCCGGGGTCACTGACCCGGGTCCACCTGGTCCCCGCTGCTCCTCACACCCCTCTGTTCAGGCACGATTTCCGGGGAGAGTGGAGACGTGGTGCCCCTTGACCAGGCACCGAGTGTGGCCAGTCAGGGAGTGCTGCCCACAGGTCGGGGTCACGGTCACGATCACGCCTCTTCAGCCTCAGCTCTGTCTTCCGTGACCTGCCGCTGTGGGGAGCAGAGGCCCAGTGCTCGGTGCAGCGTCTCTGGGCTGTGGGAGCCGTGTGAGGCTGACCGCGTGGCCCCCTGGCCGCAGGGCCTCTGCCGGGTGCTGTGGGCGGTGCGTGGGCCCCAGCCCCTGCCCTCCCCGCCACCAGCCACCTCCACAGAGCGTGGTCCCCAGCCGGGCGCTCCAGGGTCTGTCCCAAGACGCGTCAGTCCCCCCCGTGGACTGGAGCTGTTTCCGCGTTGAGTGAGGATGGACGGGCCGCAGCTGTGGGCACACGGCTTCTCTGCGGTTGCCTGGGACGAGTGCAGGCCTGCGGCCGCGAGAGCGACTTCACGTGGAGCTGCCGCCTCCCACGGCCTCGGTGCCTTCTGTCCCGTGACAGCCGGGTGCTGCTGGCTCTTCAGTGTCGCCTCCTCCACATGCCGTGGGGCTCGCCGTGGTTTCATTTGCGTCCCCCGATGACCGTGCTGTGGCACGGCGCCACTCCTCTTCTCCTGGGACAACCTCAGGCCTCTGCCCAGCTTCAGATTGGCAGTTGGTTTTGTTTTTGGCAGGAGCGAGCTGAACGTGGTGAGGCCAGTGCCCTTCCCATCTGTGCCGCGTCGGCCTCCGCTGCTTGGACGAGGCCTTGTTTCCTGGCCAGGAGTCTGAGGGTGGGTGCGCCCGGGCTCAGAGCACCATCAGGGACCCTCCCCCAGGCTCTCACTTGCCTGGTCTCTGCCCGCTGCAGGCCGTGTCCTGGGGACCTGGAGCCCAGAGGGGAGCCTGCCCCAGCCCAGGGCACATTTGTCCCTCATCAGCCCCGCGCCCACCCTGGTCAGAGCATAGCTTTCCTCCATCCACGGGGCGTCCGCCAAGAGCACCTGTCCGGGTCCCCGCCTGTCCCCTTGCCGGACAGAATGTGAGGAAATAGGAGGGGAACTTGGAGCAGGAGTCGCCCTGAGGAGACAGGGTGGGAGGCAGGGGGTGGGGGTGGGGTGACCCCCGTGGTGCTGAGGCAGGTCCGGGCGGGGTTTGGAGACCCTGTTTTATGGGGCCGGCGGGTACGGCTCCCCAGGTGCCGTAAAAGCTAATGTGATGGCCGCGTGTGCCGTGCTCCTCGTTTTTATAATTTTTTACTTTATGAAACAGGACAGGGAACTTAGTGACTTATTACTATTCATTTCGTTTCAATGCAGTAAATATTGATTCAGTTGGGGGTTTTCAATTTAAACTGCTTGGCGATTATATAAAATATGACTGCCTGTGAGATTATGCTTACCGATCCCTTCGCTGCTCATTAGGGAAGGCGCGCGGCAGCCTCTGCCTCCATCATCCTAATGGACGGCCACGCCGCCATCCTGCACGGGAGGTGCGGGCTGCCTGCGGGCCTGACAGCCCGGTGCAACTCTTCATTTGGAAGCCAGTTCAAAGCGCCGGGTGTTTACTTATTTCTCTGTCGGAGGCGGCAGCCTCTCTGCTGTCACCTGCCCATGCTCCTCGCAGGGGGATGAGGGTGATGGGGGGATGGGGGCCTCGACCCTGCACCCCCCCCCCACCCGCGGTCTGCGAGGGGAGGGAGGGGAACCAGCTGGGGCCGGCAGGTGGGCCGGCGGGTGTTTCCTGACGGACAAGAAGGTGGTCCCTGTGGTTTTCCCCACGGGACACGCGAGGGTTGCCCTCGGCTGCACCCGGCCCCTGGCCGCC